AGTGACAGCCATTAAAATAAATAGGGCAATCTAGGCTGAACTGGATAGATTATGGGGTCCCAAAATATATACAGATTAGCAGCTTGGAGGCTGAACATTCTCCATCTGCAATTTGAATTTCATCTAGTATATACCTTAGCCAGCTCTGATATGAGGGTTATAACTAATGTAGGTAGCCTATATTGCCATCAGCTAACATGAAAATTTGGCTACACATGTCAGGTTACTACACGTCTCACAATTCCTGGCAGTGTAATACTTGGTAAGGTAAGGCAGTAAAATGTAGGTGAAGCTTAGACATATTTGCTGTTTAAAAGTAGCATCACCAATCTTTATGTTACCTTGTTTTATAGGCCCAACTTCCAAACACTGGTCTTAAACTCTGTTTGTTAATGCTGTGTTTGACCAATTAGGCTTGGTCCTAGTGGTTACCTGCTTCTAAGGAGACTATTTTTGTTGAGGTAGGGACTCAGATTCATCAGAACTAGTTTCAGTAATATTGTTCCTCTCCATAGCTATTGAGCATAGCTTCTTTCTATACCTTGCACAAGATCACTTTCTCTGCCTTAATTTTCTAGTGCAGTGGTCTCTAACCTTTCTGGCTTTGTGGACCTGCGAGGGGGGGGGAGAGGGGATGGTTCTGGGCAAGTGGTGGGTGAGCCCCACGAATGGTGCTGTGCTTGTGCTCATGCACCTGCTGCGCACATAAGTGGAGCTGTGCGCACATGTGCACTCGCCTGCCACTTCTTCAGCCCAGTTCTGATTGGTCCATGGCCCAGGGGTTGGGGAGCCCTGCTCTAGTGTAGCTTTGGAGCATCACTGACACAAGCAACATTCTTTGGAGGGTTTGTTTGGTATAAGGATAGAAGATAATGTGTAATTGATGATTCACGCCATCTCTTGTGAGAGGGAGCTAACAGTTTACCTGAAATGCTGTACTTCTTAGTGATCAGATAGTGCCATACATGTTTGAATAGATGGTATCTGGGTAGACATTGGCATTTTGATTCGAATCTTGGCGATTGTTGTATCTTTGTTGCTCAGATGGGATTGTATCTGTTTTTTTTCCAGAATTTCTGTGTCAACTTATATTAGGCTGCAGAAATGGATTGAGAGATGTGGTCCAGTGATTCTGATTTGTGGACATTTTGATACCCAAGATAGAGATTTTCTTTGTTTTGGGGGATAGTGCTAATCACAGAGATAAAATTTAGTACATTGTGAATGTTGTTGTGTGGTTGGGAGTGGAAAGCTCAACTGTTTTCTAGCACCCTTGTTTGTAGGTATGCATATTATGAGTCATGTCCGATATCACTTTAGTCAATATGTCATGCAACTCCCATATCTTGAAGAGATCACAATCTGCTACCTTTGGAAAGTACTTTAATCTCTGCAAGATTAAATCTCTGAGAGGAATTTCTAACAGCTGTGCTGCACTTTATCAAGTTTGTTGTCTATCCCAGTCTGAATCCAGGTCTCTCTCTCTGGATCATTTCAAAACATTGCCTTGATTGTTTCTGATAAATTGTGAGTTGGATGCCAGGAGGTGGGATTAATAAAAGCTGCACCTCCAAGTTCTGTGAAGGATCAATGAATTTCATAAGTCCCAAAGTTATGAATTCTCACCTAGCTAAAATGTACCTAAATAAGCTAATGTTTTCCTCATGTATACTGCAATATACTGGAATCTCCCTAAAGACAGTTAGAAAATTGATATCATAAGATATTGTGAACAACCTCCATATCAGGATGAACTAAAAAGGGCTGACTAAAGATTGGACAAATATGAAGAATGGCAGAAGACTGCCTTTATTTTAACACTCAGCTGTAGGGAAAGTGGCCCACCCAGTGGAAGGCCCAAAAAACAGCATGAAGGAAAATATGGATGAAGCAAATTGACAAAAAATTTGAAATAAAGTACCCTCAATTAGAAAACATAAGAAGTGTCTTATGTCCAGAGACACCCATAGCAATGTAGGTCTCCAAGATCATCGTGGCCCAGACACTTGCTAAAGAAATGAAGAAGTTAACAGGAAAAATCAGGTGTGCTTATAAATTCTCTGTTTGATTTGAGACTTTTGTCAAGGTGAGTTGTGGCTTGGAAGACATTAGGTGGGCATGCTTATTCCAAACATATTTCCTTGATCCATCAGAGTATGTGGGAGTCCTAGCTTGCATTTATAAACCTTCATATAATGTTTGAGAGTTACTAGGTGGGCTTCTCATCAAGGACATCAATATCATCTATGGTTATAGAATCAGTGTGATCAGATATCCCTATGAGGAAGATTTGGTTTAGCCAGCTCCTCAGGGAGAAGCCCATGTTTAGGTTTTATAGTGTATTTGAGTGCTTCAGTTCCTACTGTGACTTGAACAGCCTCCTTCTCCTCTTTTAGTATAACTAGTTTGTTTTTATTTTAGTTGTCTTTAATTTCATATGTTTTTTTTGCTTCAGCTGCCTTTAATTAGGTCTGTGTTACATGCGATTCTAGCATGTTGGTTCCAACTCTACCATCCTTTTAGCAAACAGGTTTTTGAGCAGTAACTGTTTCTGCTCTAATTAGGTCATTAACAACAAGTGTAGTGTTATTCAAGCTTGATGACTTTAGCCAGGGTTTCTCTCATTTGATTGAACCGGTGGCCTTTTCTAGTTCTAATGTAAGTCAGTGTAGTCTATCTTTGGGTTAGTCACTGGAGTGCTTTTGAGAGACTTGGTTTTCTGAACTCATTCATTACCTGTTGGAACTATTGTCTGAGTTTCTGTTCACTCTATCCATTAAGGAGCATCTAGGTTGCCATTCAGTCTGGCTGCAATGTTTCTTAATAGCAGGAAGAGTTTTGAAAAGGCTATGATAGTTTGCCTGCAGTATCAAGTTCTACTCATCTATATACTTTAATGACTTATCAAAGGATTTTTTTTTACTGTGCTGATACTATCTTAAAAGCCATATACTGCAATTTTATAGAGTAGAAATACTATTGATTCCTGTCTGAAAATGTTAAGGATCTTTTAGAAGGAATCATTTTGGCAACTTTATATTAAATTTACATTGCCTCTTTTACATTAAGAGTGCGCAGGCCCTGCTCCTAATACTGGATTCCAGTTCCATCAACTATAGCCAATATGGACAATGACCAAAGAAGATGGGAATTATGGCACAACAACATCTGCAAGGGTCTAATTTTTTTTACTCATATTCTTGGCAATAGATACTGTAGGTCAGTGATGGCGAACCTTTTAAAGACCGAGTGCCCAAACTGCAACCCAAAACCCACTTATGCATCGTCAGGTGCCAGGTGGGTGTGGCCCATTGGGTGGGTGTGGCTGCGGTGGTAACAGCAGACTGGGTGGGACTAAAAAGTTCAATCAATCAATTCCAACTTTGCAAGATCTTTTTTTTTCCCGTGAGAAGTTGAAATTGACTGATTGATTGAACCAGCAGAGACATAAAGCAAAAAGGTTTTATAAAACCCAGCTGAAGGCCTAGGACTGGGGCGACGGCGCGCGTGCCCACAGAGAGAGCTCTGAGTGCCGCCTCTGGCACCCGTGCCATAGGTTCGCCACCACTGCTGTAGGTATTATGCTTATCCTCTCTATTAGCATGTTTAAAAATCTATATTTCCACTGAGGCTTCCAGTTTTAACCAAACACAACTAATCTTACCTTTATCATATGTTTGGCACAAATAGAAATAAAAATTTGTTTATTTTCTCTGATATAAGTCAGTGTTTGTACCTGCTCATTGTATTTATAGTATTTTTAATATATATATATATACAGGATCATGCTCCAAACAATGTGTATTATCACAATTAAATGTGATAATACATTTAATTAGACTTTAAGTAGGGACACTATGGGATGCAAAAACTGAGATGAGTATGGAATGACAGCAAATATTAATAATTTGCTGTATTACTTTTTTTGTAATCTATTGTTCATCCAGTTTTTTTGCCCATGTGTGGTAGCTTAGTTTACAGTGCTATAAGACTTCTTTTGACACAAAAATTTCAAAATAGCTTGCAAAATACGCTTCAGCGTAGCTTGCAGCTTATAAAGAATTAAGCGATGAATCAAATAAACTACTTAAAATTATACAATGTCATAAGACAGCAATATCTAAAACCATCAAAATACAAAATAAACTGTTGAAAGCAAATTAGAACAAAATGTTCTGATTTTGCGGTTTGTGCTAGATTGTATATAAAACTGTAATTGTTTATTTTTTTTAAAAAAGTAGTATAGATTTCCTCATAGTTTCAAAAAAATTGGTTTTCAGGGATATTTTCTGCCCTCGTGTTATCACTATTTCCTCTTTATTTATTGAAGTCATTGTTCAGGAAAGAGAAACAGGAAAGAAAAAAAGAACATGTGGCTTCTGCAATGTTTGCAGCGATATACATATTTTTTACTTTGTTATATTTGGGAAACAACATGGTAATTTACTTTTGTTATTGCAGATAGTTGTCCTTCCAGACGCATCCTTAATAATATGTTAAAATATTTTCTGGTTACTAGGGCATGTATAGCATTAATATGTGAGAAAACAGTTGCCTGCAACATATGGGCCAAAGGACTTCTTAATGTGTGTATTTAATTTGACATCTTTCAGTAGGGCATAATCCCAGTGCTATGTGATTAGATATTATAAATATTTCTTACATTTTGTGATTTCTGAAAGATAATTCTAGAGTAAATGTTCATCTGTAATCATTCATTATCTGTCATGATATTGTAATCTCTAATAACTGTATAATCTTGCCTAGATAAGAATTGTAATGCATTTTGATTAATAATAATTATCAATATTTGGGACATGTGGTGGAGAAAGGAGTCTTAAGGTCATTGTGAGCATTTATTTATGAAGATATATAGATTTATATACTACACAACTCCCAAAATTCTGGAAGCTATACAATGCTATATAGTTTCCCTTTGTGTACTGTAAAATTATTTACAGTATATAGAAGATACAGTAACTTCATTCTGTTTGTTTTAGTGAATCAAAGAGGGTGGAACTGGAAAGAAAAATGCTTGAATACAGCACACCTGATACTTCCATGTAAGCTTTATAAATCAGCATGTAGTTGTATTAGTTTTACTATGTATTATTATATAGCATGGAAATATTGATGTCTAAAATTTATTTAACAATACGGTGCATTATAGTGCTGATTGGCATGTATAGTTAGATTTTTATGGACGCGTGTATATTGAAAATTGGAATTGGGAAGATGAATGGAGAGAAGGCACCCAGGGAAAGCAAAACCTAAATCTGATTCACTACTGGATAAAAACAGACCAGATGATGTAGAAAAATAATAATATAAATACATGTCAGCCGCTATGTTTGAAATTACTTAATTGCATGGAAAAGTGAAGAATATGCAATTCAACTATTCGGAAGAAAGCATTTCTCATGTTATCATATTGGACCTCTAAATCTGGGTGCAATTCAAGGTGCTGGTTGTCACCTCTAAGGTCCTACATAGCTTGGGACTGGCTTACCTGAAGGACGATCGTTTTCCAAGAGTTTCTACCTGCCCAGTCTAATTCAGATTGGGCATGCTGCATCAGCCAAAAAGTGTTGACTGGTGGAACTAGAAGACAGGCCTTTTCTGCTGTAGTCCCTGCCTTATGGAATATTCTCCCCATAGAGATTAGAATGACCTCAACCCTGTTGGCATTTCGCAAAGATTAAAAAAACTTGGCTATGTACCTGGGCTATCTACCTAGGGCTCAGAAGATGTTAAGAATCCTATTTCTTGGCTTTACTATTAGTGATTAATCATCATAGCTGCTGTTTATTTATTTTGTTGATTTTTTTATTGCTTTAATGATTTTTAAATTGTTTTAATTATTTTATAATTTTAGAATTGCAAGCCTGCCAGAGTCATTTGGTTGAGTTTGGCTGGCTACAGAAATTGAATGAATGAATGAATAATAAAATAAATAAAGTTGATCAGAAGAAATAGATAGCAAATATATTGGGCTGACCACTTGCCTAGAATACTAGCAGCCTACTTTCCTGGTATTTCTGGAGTCTTACTTTACAATAAAGACTACAGTATTGTTGAAACTTTTTAGAAGGTAGGCAGAATCTTAATTTGGGAATCAGATACTTACAGTTTCCAGTGGCTATAATCCTGGATAGAAACTTAATTTTCCTTGTCCAAACATAACTTAACCCACTGACATTGGATATTTCCCTTGGGTCTCTACTCTTTCTTAAGGTTACAACTTCCTTGTGGCATGCATATATTTTAATGACTATTTAATAAGTAAGGTGTTCTTTGCTGTGATGAATTGCAACTTGCCCTAAGGAAGCATGACATATGCCCATCTCCAGACATAGAACCAAACAGCTCCAGAATACTCTGGTGGTTCAGAGTGACACCTATGCAAATTTTTTGAAAGAGACTCCTTGAAATGTGTGGGCAGCAGGTACAAAACATCTCTTTTTGAATTAAGCTACCATGTCTTTTTCACAGGCTCACATGTCATTATGCAGAGTCGGTCAGAAGCAGTTTCTGAAGCAGTTTTGTGAGCTTGGAAAAAAATGCAGGTCTTTAATAGTTTAAAAATGTTTTGCATGTGCTCTTAAGTAATCCAAAACACCTTGTGTGAAGGATTTAATAATTACTCTTTTTAAAGATAGCAGATGGATGCTAACCAGTATGTTCTGTAGAAACTTTGGGTTGAAAGAATCAAAGGAAGAAGGTGTATTTAATTCTTATCATCTCCAAGTCCTATTTTAGGAGTCTGGTTAGTCCTATCTTCCTCAGTGCATGTATAATTTGACTACGACAGACGTGATTAATTTAGACTTACCTCTGTTTGCAATGGTGTTTTTGTTCCTTGAACTTATGCAAGCAAGAAAGGGGAGAGACAAAGTGAGATGATCTTGGGCTGCAAGTACACTCAGATTGTAACCGGATTATACTTTGTTGGAGAAATTTTAAATTATTGTCTTGAAGAAGTAAATTTTCATATTTAAAGTAAAAGGGAATAACCTCAAACATTGATTCTAATTAGTTTTTATAATTCTGTCTACCATTAACTTTAAATATTCTTCTGATAATCCTGTGTGTATTTAAGAAATGTTTCTCTTTGCAAAAATAAGCTGTTACAGTTTATGGTTGACTTTTTGTTTCTCCCTGTGTAGAACTAAATTGAAATACGCAAATCTAAAAAAATATTTAAATGAAATATGTGAACGTCAGAAGAACTCTCTGCTCCGAAACCAAGATTTATTAAAAGAATTTGATTGTATTGAAGCTCACATTAGGAAGTTTGCTTCAAGATCAGAGTCCCTTCCAAAGCTAAAGGTATGATGTGTTCTAGCTGTAATAAATTAGCAATAACTTTGAAGGAGTCTGTTTTGCCTATTCGGGAAATCTTATGTGACATAAGTTGATAGGTAAGGATAGCAGTAGAGATCTGTTTTCCTCTTCTTAAAGCTTTGGAAATGAGGTAGGGCTGGAGAGCTTAAGGGTCTTGAATATCTCTTGCAACATTATTTATGTACCTGAACTTTAATTGTTAAATATGCAATTTGATTGTGATATCAGTGAAACAGGACCTAAAAGAATGTAGTGAAAACACTTCTTGACATTTCATTTTATTTCAAATTCTTGTAATTCTGTGCTACCCCATTTACATCATGTGATTTTTAATAGCTATTAAATCATTCTCAAATGCTCATTATGTTTTAGAAGGTCTTATACTGAATTTACTGTATCATCATTTCATTGCGTTTTGCCAAATATACACATTTTAATTCGTAGTTCTTATGATCTTTGAATCTAAGAAAGGTCTATTATGAACATACTATCTAAAACAGAATTTTGTTTCAAAATCTGGAGAAGAAATTAACAAAGTTCTAAAACATTTTGTGTAGTTTTAGATAATTCTTATATAAAAGTGTAAAAATATACAGTTTGGCTATGGTTGTTTATTTAGAAGATACAAACAACTAATGAAAAACTTGAATAAACTAGTATAGTTAATTTTAAATAAAATGGAAGCTTTTACATAAACATTATTTTAGCTTTGGAACCATTTTATATACTGTATTTATCTGAATGTAAGCATAGCTATTTCTGAATAAATTAACTTTAAAATTGGAGAGTTGTCTTAAATTCATGAGAATATAGTAATGGTAACTTTTTTCTGGTTAATCATCTCATATTTATAGCATCTTCTTACATTTTGAGGTAAATGCAGTATTCAATAAGATTAAAATTAATATGTGTAGAATATTTAAATGAGAATGTTATTCAGAATGCTTTTAAACATGTTAATTTTTTTATACTGTATACTACATATTCCTACATCAAAACCAATCATATAAAATACTTAGGTAATTTAAAGGAAGAGGTAAAACATATGCTTAATTGGTTTCCGCTGGAATCAGTGACACATCTGTTTAGCTTTGGCTACATCACAACCTAAATGCTTAATGATTATTTATAATCTCTCCTTATACTAGGCAGAGTATGAAAAAGAAATTAAAAATAGGCTGTTAGTTGAGAGAAAAGATACGTTAAAACATGAGATGAGAGATGGTCCTAAACATCAGGTATGTGAAAATTCTTAAGGCATGTAAGACAATTTTCCTCATTTTCCTTTTTTTTTCTCTCTCTCTTTTTAATTTGTATTCCTTATTTTTCCTTGTTCTTTATTTTCCAATTATTTCAATGGGAAAATTTAGGCATGTTTATATTTCTTTTTGAATCAGTGGAATAGAAGACACAATCTCTTAATTTAGGAGGTTTTTGCATTTTTTTAAAAAATGGTTGTAAAGCTTGTGTTGCTGTTCTCACATGCCATATAAATAGTATGATTTTAGGTAAGAAGCAAAGGCTTTCATTGTGAAATTAATAAATAGCAATTGAAACCCTCACTTTCCAGCATTCCATTCATCTAGTATTCTTAAGTTCTAGACTCAAAATAGTGTGGCAAAGTCTTGTAAATTTTAATTGAAATACGTTGAATTTATAATTTCATACATTTTGACCTTTCTTTTCCCTCTAAAAAGCAAAGATTGCATACCTAAACCGTGGACAAAGCCGACAAGTAATACTCAAATATATTCCGCTATATATCTGTGGTAATGCAGCCTTCTAATCCCCCCTCCTATCTCCATATAAATGATACAGTTCAAGACCAGAACTGTTTTTCTTCCCTAAAAGCAGGAAAGCTCTTTTAGATGAAATGACTAAAAACATCTTGTAATAACTTGGAGCATGCTGGCAAGAGTAGTCACTTGTGACTATATGTGAAACCCCCTCAGCTAGTCGATATTGTAATAAGCCAAAATGGGTAGCATCACTCCATTATTCAGAAAAGCCAACAGCATGCTTGTCCCTTAGGCTACAACATTCATTAAGGAAAGCTTACTGGGCTGAAAGCTGGAAACAGATGATAACAGGATATGATTTTCATATTTAATGCATTCCTTGGAAGAGTATGTGTGCTGCAGATTGATAGAAGAATCAACTGCTACTTTACTGAAAGACTTTCTAGTTTGCCCTATAGCTACCGATGGAATCATTCAGCCAAGAAATTAACTTTTCCTCCTTTTACCTGCTTTATGTATCAGCTAAGCAGGCTGTCTTGCTGCCAGTAAATGTTATTATGCATTTAACTGTTTGGTATTTAAGACTCTTATCAGGAAAGAAACAGAGGCAACACTATTTCATGTGTGTGTATGTGTGTGCGTGTGGGGAGATGTGTTTAATAGTGGCAGGAAGGTTTTCTTCATTGCATTAGCAGTTGTTAATCTGAGGTTATAGATTTCTTTTTTCCTGGTTGTAGATTAAAAAGGTGTTGAAACCTTGAATTTAGACCATTCTTCCTTATATACAGAGCAAAGAGCTTCACCAACCTTGAACTAGATAAGTAGACCTAGATAATATAAACATTCATTCCGTTCATATATTTATGAAACAGTATGGATAGAATTCTAAAATACTAATTTTCCGTGTGTCCATTTTTATATAATGATACATAAATATTTATCCGAATGTTTTTTTAAATATTTTACAATAGATATGCAAAAGCCATAGAGTACTTTAAGATTATTATAGTATTATACTGTGAATTGTTTGTGATCTGTCACTGTTCATTTTAAATTTATTAATCCTCTGTATGAGGGTGATAGCTTTTACAAATGCTGGCTAGGATCCAAACGACAGCATATAGAAACAAAAACACTTCTCTAAGCATAGGAGCAAGAATTTGATCATTCTTCCTCCTCAGCTTGTGCTCTAGACACTGTTGAGATTCAAGCAACTTTAGGCAAAGCTGTTCACATATTAGAACTCTGCAGATCATTCAGTAAATTCAGCATGGCCCTGTCATGTATGTTGAAGTTATTTTTTTATTTTTAAATGCAATCAGAACTCAACATTAATAGAATGCAAGATCATGCATAACACTATATATATGTATCTCAAAGTTTAACAAACCAATCAAACAAGTGCTGATGTGTTTTCATTTTAAATCCACCTGAAGCTCAACATAAGCAAGACACTAAAGTTGAAGTCAACAAAACTGTCCAAGCAATTTGAAAGGTCTATTGGCTGCATACAGGTAGCCTTCAACCTAAATCGATCACTTAACGATCATTGAAATTACGATGGATTCCTCCCCCCCAAAAGTACTTACAATCCAGTTCCAAAGTTCTGATGGCTCCACCATCCCCTCCTCCCCCATAGTTATGTGACCACAAGCACTTGGCAACCACAGGCATTTCAGGCACTTGGCAACCAGCCTCTTGTTACAGCCATTTATAGCATCCTGTGATCATGTGACTGCAATTTATGACATTTCTCCTGACAACAGCAATTAGTTCCACTTTTTGGCAAAAAAAAAATGCCCCATAGTGAACAACGGGTTTGCTAAACAATTGTGGTATTGCTTAACAACTGTGGCAAAAAGATTGTAAAATTGGAACTGATTGTCATGACTTATAACCGTAATAAGGTCCATTAAGGTCGTATATCAAGAATTTCCTGTATGGATTTTCAGAAGAGTTGTCTAATGCATCTGGTTGGTTGGATGTGCTCAAGCAGTGCCAACATTAGATAGAGTTCCAATGTACGATGGTCTCTTGGGGGATGAGGTGCTGAAGTAGCATTTGTATAGCCCAGGGGTAGGCAACCTTGGCTCTTTTATGACTCGTGGACTTCAACTCCCAGAATTCCTGAGCCAGCCATGCTGGCTCAGGAATTCTGGGAGTTGAAGTTCACGAGTCATAAAAGAGCCAAGGTTGTCTACCCCTGATATAGCCACATGAAAGGTGACAACAGTCATGGGCCAAAGGCGTAATGTTTACGTTGGTTTCCATCCTGCCAAGACCATCCCACACATTTGCTGTTTGGAGGCAATACAGCTAATGCTGATAAACTGTGGACGATTGTTTCCATTGTTTGTGATCTTGAAACCATTCGGTTTTGCCACACTGATAGCTACTTCTCATTGCAATGCATCATAGTCATACCCCCCTCATGTAAGTACCTAAAGTTCCTCATTCTGAACCAGTACCTTCTTGTGGGTGGCTACTGCACCAGTGCAAGGTGAAAAGAGGTAAAAGGCGCGAACCCATCTTCAAGTAAGCCATGTGTCTGGAATGCAGTGCATGCTTATTGGGGTCCCGTTGCTTACAGTGATTCCAGCATTTTCTATGCAAAGGGCTCAACTTGCTTGCTGAAGATATAACCATTTTGTAGTGGAAGAAAGTATCCATTTAGAGGTGCTGAAAGTTATATAAAGTCATTACCTGTGCAATAGCATGCCTTTGAAGTATTTTGTTTGCATACCAATGTTGGTTTACCCACTAAGGCAGTATCTTGTTCTACTTAAGATACCCTACTACTAGTCAGCAGGAGAATTTGCACACTGCAGCAGTGGCAAAGACACTTGAGTGATGCTTCCACCTCTCTTGATCAATAAGCCTCTGTCTTCTCTCTCTGTCCCTCTCAGTTTCCCCTCTGCTTTTCTAGCTCATGAGGCTGGGAAGAGAGGATTAAACCATAAAAGTAAAGCTTGATTTAAAATGAAAGCACTCTAATAATGTATGTGCATGCATATATGTACAGCCCAGCAAGTATTGTTGTGCTATCAACCTAGTACGCACACCTCATTGGAAGAATTAATTTCCCCTAATTAAAGCAAACATTTTTTCCATATTGAGGGAAAGGGCAAAAGGTGTTTTAACTTTAAAGGGTGAATCCTGGATTCCTATACCCGACAAGGTTTCAGACTAAGGATCTCTAACACTTAATTCTGTCATTTGTTGAACTGAAAACCCACAGTGGGAAAGGGCAGTCTTTTTTGTTTCTCTAACTAATGAAGCCTTATGCTTAAGTTAACATTGCAAAAATATTGCTATGGGGGAGGTGCTTGAAGCATTCAACGAATCTCAGTAATAGAGCAGATTAGTCAGTGTGTGTTGGTTGGTTGCTATATCCTGGTCCTCCCTCTGTAGTAGTAAAGCCAAATCCAAACTGGCCTTCAGACATGTTTACATTACTTTCTCCCCCCCCCCAGCACGTTGGCATTCCTTCTCATTTCTAATCTAATTTAACTACTGTAGCTACTGCTGTTGTTAGCTAAACCCGAAAATAACAGAACATTCACAGAACTTGCAAATTGAAATAATATTTTTCAAAATAGCCAGGTTTTGTTGTAACTACTGAACTTGAAACTTTTTCTACTTGGAATAATTTGCACATCTATAGCGTAAATTTCTTCCAGGTATGCTTTGTCAGGCAATGAATGTGTGCTGACCTATTGCTAGCTATGTTGCTAACCTCCTCAGAGCACATCTGAAACTTAACCTGACAATGCATGTTGCATTGCTATATACTGCTTATGTTCAATGGAGTGGAGAGCCCTTACTTCATTGCCCTTGCCATCTCTTTTCTTTATTTTTTATGTTTTATTGTATTTTTTTGTAAGCCAACCAGAGTCATTGAGAATCTGATGGCACAGAGGTTTAATGCATTATTATTAATCTTTTTTTTTTAAAAAGGAGTATTTTTCAAACAATTCCTATCTTCTATAATAATAATGAAAAAAATAGAAAACACTTTCTTGATTTCCAACTGTTTTTCAGATGATTCCAGAAGCAAGGCAGTCAGGAATTAATACCAGGACAGCGATGTCAAGAGGACTATATCATTCAGCAACTATCTTTATGGGTCGCCAAATGTCAGCTGTCTCAAGCGTGGAAGATTTTGGTGCACTGCAGAAGTCTGAGCTCACAAAGAGCTTTTCAATTTCTGACCCATATTCCTATAGACAACCATCACAGAGCTGCTATATGACAGACAGCTGTGTAGTTCAAACTAATAGTGATCTACAGTGCTCAAATAAGTCTGACAAAATAGATGGGAAGACATCTCTGCTGAAAGCTGAAGAAATGCCAATCACATCCAGTGTATCATATGAGAATGAAAGAACTTGTTTAACAGGGGAAAGTATAGCAAATAATGACAGCAATAATTTTGTGGAAAACAAGGCCCACCCTGAACCTAAATCTCTGCTACACAGAAAATTAAGTTTTGAGAACAGATCCACCAGTTTGAAAAGTTACAGTCCCTGCAAATCATTGACCCGTGAACATTCTTTACAATATGAACAAGGAACTAAAGAGCCCATCTCGTTGATTGGTGATCCTGACTTACTTGTTTCTGCCAATGAGTGCTCAGAAGAAAAATTCCCAGGTATAAAGATGATATACCTTCAGGGCTTATAAAGAAAAGGAAGAAAGCCATCTTTCAGCTGTAGTTTTGATGATGTTGTCCCATAACTGTAGGGTCTACAAATAAAAAAATGTACTTTTTGAATAGCAAAAAGATAATAGGAACGCAGTTAGGCACTACTATACTGTTTCCATTATGTTTGATTTATTTGTAACCTTGCTTTATTTGGAATTGTTTTCTGAGAACTCAGCCACAGAGATGTTTCTCATGTTTTCTTTATTATTTAAAGGAGTATAAAAGTGTAAGAGAGCATAATCAAAAACTTTGTAAAAAGTATAGTATTATTATTCAATACATAGTAACTTGGCCTTTTAAATATCTAATGATTCCATACTTCTGATATTAGGTATGTATTTTGTTTGGCATAGAAATCAGTCTTGTTTATGACAAGATTTGAAGTTAGGTTTTTGTTAATTTTTTTAAAGTAAGCATTTCTTGTCTCATCAAATCTTAACGAAATGGCTATAGTTCTGCTGATTGAAGAATTGCAATTTCATCTTTAGGTTCTCTCTAGGACAATTCAGAATGTATACAATTTAAAATGGAGGGTAGAAATTAATCTCATTAAGCTGCAAGAAAATATTCTGTTATTCTTTTGTTATTCTTTCCAGGTATTGTGGTAATTTCTAAATAGAATTTTAAAAGGTGGTATTGTTTTCTAAAATATTCATCCAATAGGTATATTGTGAGATGGTTTGTCCTAAATTTATCATGGTGGGTGGTTTTACAAACTATCCAGTATGCCTTTCTTTAGCCATATTAATTTATTTTTATTTTTGGGGAAACACAATGTTAAAAAAACAGGTTTTCTGCCCTGTAATAATGTTCTAGACAGGTTCAGGACATTATTCTAATTGTTTATAAATAAATATTTAGATTTAATAGTTCAAAAAATGTTTTTGTTACAGTTTTGGGGAGCACCATACAATTGGACAAAAATATACTGCAGGAGGAAGATAAAAGTTTAAGTAGCAGCACAGATCTTACTGTTTCATTGAGTGAGGAGGAGGAGGAATCAACTTCTTTGAAACTACAACAAAATCTAAACAGTGCAGATTGCAAACTTGACAATACAATATGTAATAATGAAGAATATTCTCAAATGTTTTTTTCAACTGAACACTCATGTTCTGGCCTCGAGCTAAGGTAAAACTAAACCAGTAATGTTCATTTGTATTTGTTTTGTTTATTCTTATATCTGCTCATTCTACAATTTTGGGTAGTGTACAGTAATAATAAAATAGGTGCCTAAAAACATACCTCACAATTAAAAACTAAAATATATTAAACATAATAATAATAGTATAAGACTAACATTGAGATGATCCAACATCTAGGTCAGGGGTGTCAAACTGCCAGCCCGCAGGCCGGTTGCCTCATGCGGAGGTCACGCCCACCCCAGCTCCGGCAATGCGAAAAAAGTCACGACACGTCATGTGATGCGGCGAGTTTGACACCCGTGATCTAGGTATTAGTTGGTAAATACTTATTTAAAGAAATAAATGTTAAAGAAAATGTTGGCATTTTCTTAAATGTCAACGATGATTGACTAGGTGTACCCCTGAGAGTACATTCCGTAAGGTCTGTCTTCTGGCTGCTGTTTTCCTCACTTCGCACCACAGCCAGTTTTGTTGGCATGTCCTCTCTAGATGATTGCACAGCATAGATATCTATTCTGTATAAGAGATGATACATGCCTTTCAATTGGTATGGATTTTTTTCCTTCCTATTTATCAGTGTAATGGAAGTTTACCTGCCTATTTAATTCAAGGTGTCATCCAGTGTAGCAAATCCCAGTCTCCTATGTTAAGATTTTCACTTTTAGCAGATATGGTACAACTGATCTGTTTTTCCTCTGCACTATATAGAAAGCTGTTAAAAGTAATAAAGAGATACCAGAATTAGTTATGGCAAAGAGATACCAAGATTAAAATTGTGTTGTTTTCCTAAATTCAGCTTAACACAACTACTCAGATAGTCCTCCACTTAGGGTTGATTTATAATGATGATGATGATGATGATGATGATGATGATGATGATGATGATGATGATGATGATAATAATAATAATAATAAAGTTGGACTTTGGAGGTCATCTAGTCCAACCCCCTGCTCAGGCAGGAACCCCTATACCATTTCAGACAAATGGCTGTCCAGTCTCTTCTTAAAAATTTCCAGTGTTGGAGCATTCACCGCTTCTGGAGGCAGGTTGTTCCACTGGTTAATTGTTCTAACTGTCAGGAAGTTTCTCCTTAGTTCTAGGTTGCTTCTCTCCTTGATTAGTTTCCATCCGATTTGAGGTAGTGCTTTTCTCTCCATAAAAATTCTGAATCTTTATGTGAATATTATTAGGTATTTTTAAATACCTGTACCTTAACTCCCCTGTATAATAGATTCTCTGTCTTTCTTCTAAGTGTTTACAAATTTTTCTAGAACCAGTATCTTAAAACAATACATTGTTATTTCCTAACATCAGCTTACATTAAATCAGTGGTTCTCAACCTGTGGGTCGGGACCCCATTTGGGGTCAATCGACCATTTCACGGGGGTCGCCAAGCAAGGCTGTCCACCATTTTTTTGTCCGCCATTTTTTTTGTCCGCCA